AACTAGGATTACAGACTTGAGCCACCAGTGCCCGTGCCTTCCTTTTCTTATATAAAAGAAGTCATATGAAAATAGATTGGAAAACTCACTTGGAGAAAACAAATGTAGAATTTAGGGATGGATACATATCAGTATTGCAACTTGAATAATATAGTCTGATTTTACACCTGAGTAAACTTGGTAGAATAATCAGAAAGATAAGATTCTATTTTGTTGTTTCATTTCTAGTATGCCATGAACTGAAATAAAAATCTTTTTGTTGTGCAGCTCTTTACTGAATTTGTACTTAAATAATTTCTCCTTTGTAGGAATTTTCTTCTTGCAACAAAATCTATTACATGATTTTATAAATAACCCATTGGGCAGAGTGAAAGCCATATTCAGACTCAAAGAAAAACTTTTTATGTTTTACTTTAGATTTTTATTTTATATAAAAGTTGCTTTACATAGAAAAGGGTTTCATTTTGGCTGTGAAATAAGATTGGAAATTGGTAACATTACTCATAGAATCATTCAGTGGTGGTTGATTAAACACTGGTTAGATATTATTGAGGAATCTGGATGTGCAGAGTGTACACAGAAATAGGAATAAGTGTTCTCTTTTACTAAGGTATACATTGGAGAGATTACTATATTTAAAACTAAGTATGGAGTCAGAGGACTGTGGCTCATACTAGGAATCCTAGCTCTCTGGAAGCCTAGATCTGAGGATCACAGTTCAGAGCCAGCCCAGGCAGGAAAGTCTGTGAGATTCTTATCTTCAGTTAGCCACCAAAAATCCAAAAGTGGAACTGTGGCTCAAGTGGTAAAGTGCTAGCTTGAGCAAAAAAGCTCAGGGACAACACCTAGGTCCTGAGTTCAAGACCCAGGATAGGCACCAAAAAACAAAAAGCAAAGCAAAATAAAACAGAAAAACCAAAACCAAGAATGCCTACAGCCAGAAGACCCATTTCAAACCTTAGAAATTAGGTTAAGTCAGAAGTCCTAGAAACATGGTGATTTGTCTGTAACTTTGACCATGAGACTGAGACCTGGTTAAATTGATCTTCTATGCCAGTTCTGTTTATCCATTGTCTATTGAAGGAATAAAATGACCAAGATGGTCAATTTGTAAAGAAAAGAAGTGTATTATTATTCACAGTTTGAAGTCCAAGATCAGTTAGTTCCATGTGTTTGACCAGTGCCGAGTGTCGCATTTTCTGCATCACAACATGATGGATGACATCATGGTGGGAGCTTGTGTGATAAGGAGGGGTCACATAGTGAGCCAGTGAGCCAGAAAGCTTCAAGGGCCAGGACTGCCCTCCTGTAATAATCTTCTTTCTGAAAAACTGACTCACTACATCAGACCAGCATTAATTAGTTTGTGAGCAATTGCCTTCATGCCCTGATCATCTTATACTAGGCTACATCTCTTAAAATTGAGTTCTCAACATTGCCTCACCAAGGACCAGGCTTCCAATACATGAACATTTTGGGGACACCTGTTAAAATGAACATGGTAATTTAGTTGGGAAAAAGATGAATTACTTCCTTCCAGAAACACTTGTGCTATGATGCGGATCAAAACAACAATCATAAAGTCTTGTTCAAAAGCTACTGAGAATACAGATGCAAACACATGTGTTTTAAGTAGAATAGAAAGGCATACCTGTTAAAATGAACATGGTGGGGCTGGGAAGGTGGCTCAGTGGTAGAGCGCTTGCCTTGCATGCATGAGGCCCTGGGTTCGATTCCTCAGCACCACGTAAGCAAAAAGAAAAAAAGCCGGAAGTGGCATTGTGGTGGCTCAAGTGGTAGAGCGCTAGCCTTGAGCTGAAGAGTTGAAGGACAGCACCCAGGCCCAGAATTCAGGCCCCATGGCCGGACCCCCCCCCAAAAAAAAAATGAACATGGTAATTTAGTTGGGAAAAAGATGAATTACTTCCTTCCAGAAACACTTGTGCTATGATGCGGATCAAAACAACAATCATAAAATCTTATTCAAAAGCTACTGAGAATACAGATGCAAACACATGTGTTTTAAGTAGAATAGAAAGGCATACGAATGAGTGACCAACAGTTCTGCTTTTGGTAATTGGAATTCCATCTTTTCCCATACGTGGATGTATCGTCAGCCTCATAATACTGGGCAGAGACATTCCCAGTTAGCCTCACGATGATGATGGTGAACAACCAGTACTCTATAATTTACTATGTTCCTTAGTTATTATGCTCGGCAGGTTGGTGTGTAGCATGCATTTTTGTGAGATTTTCAGTTTACTAAGGAGGCCATAACTTCATTACAAGTTGAGAGTTAACAATATTGGCTTTTGCACCCAACTTTGCATTCATAATTTTGCAATTTCATTTTTAAGGAGGATCAGTCAAATTGTATATGTTTAGGCTCACAAAATCTGGATCCTCACTGAGTTTTACTGAGTTTTCTCAGTGGATTTTTCTATACTTCCAGTTTGTAAGTAAGTGAGCATCATATAGAAGCCAGAGAGTTCCAAATTATTCTAAAATTCAGTGGTTTGCATGGCTCTTTTGAAAGAGAACAGGAATTTCCTAGCAGCCAGTGTATTTCAGTATCAGTGTTAGTGAATGTCAGAAAACTGGAACTTAGGTGCAGAGTTTAGTTGAGACCAATTCTGGTCAGCCTTATAAAAGCCCACTATGTTAGGGAGATACTGGGTCAGGTTCTTTCTCATAGTTTAAATTTAGTTTAGAAGTCATTTCAAATGAATTAACAGTGAAATATCTTTATTTCCTTTAAACCTAGTTCTCTGATATAAGACATTGTAGATTAAGATCAAATATATGATTAAATGACAAATTGTTAATGTTACTCCTTGATGTTCTCTAAAACAGTGAAGCTTTGTCAGGACTAGTAGTTTCAATGCTGTGGAGTTAAAATGGACATTATTCTACATCCTTTTTGGAGATAGTTTCACAGATGGTGGCTATGGTTCACCTGGGGTGACTATTTTTCAAACCCACTTGGGTTAAAAAGAAATCTCAACCTTTCACATGAGTTTAGTTATTCATTCATTCCTTGATAGAAATGTTACTAAGCACCTCCTGTGTCTGTTCTTGGTGAGGTGTTGTAATTCAGTATATTTTATAGGAAGGTAGATGCTAAAACTATATCCTCCTCTCTTACTGCTGTATTATTCTTTCAGTTTGTCAGAGCTTTCCCTTTGTAGATTTTGCTGGCTTCAGATGCTTCTAGATGTTTTTGTGACATTAGTAATTACGTATGCATTTGGATGATTAACCACTCACTATCTGTCTCTGTATGTTATAAGTTCTATAAGCAAGGGTTGTGATATCATTTACTTATCAATATTGAATTCAGTACCCTATATTTAAGAGGTATTAAGGAAGCTGAGATCAGAGGATCATGATTCAAAGCCAGCCTAGGCAGCAAAGTCCATGAGCCTCTAATCTCCAATAAACCACCAGAAAACTGGAGGTGGTGTTGTGGCTCAAGTGGTAGAGTATTAGCCTTGAACTGAAGAGCTCAGGGTCAGCACCCAGATCCAGCGTTCAAGCCCCACGACTGACAAAAACAAAACAAAACAAAAGGTACTTGAAGATTTCTTGATTAGGAGACCTGTATAGCAAGAGTACTGTTCCTTGTCTAGTTGGACTTAGGAGCCATTGCCCCAGGAAGTGAATTGTAAGCTGGATCTGAAGAATGAAAGGAGTTAATGAAGAAGAACAGACAACCTGTGGAATCAAAGCTGAATTTATCCTAAAAGCATTGGAAGAGTTTTAAACAAAAAAGCACTATCAGACTTCCATTTTTACATGGATTATTTTTAACTGTTGTTGAGTGGGCAAGGGTGGAATAGAAGGAATGGCTAGGTTTAGTAGTATTAGATGGTGGCCTCACTTGGTTCCTGGGTAGTATAGAAAGAGAAGAGGATCTATTTGAGAAATCTTTAATGGAGTAACTGATTTGGGTTAGTGAGGAAAACAAAAGTAGCAAATATGACTCTCAAGTTTGTGCTTAGAGAACTGAGAGCATCCTGGGGGCTTTCACAGAGTCTAGATGTCAGAAGAACTATGTGAGGAGAAGAATAAGAATCACCCTTGAAGTCTATCTACATTTATACTAGACATTATAGATTTTATTAAGTAGTGGAATTTCCTCTAAAAATTAACAAAATAGCAGGCAAATACACTCATAATATTCAAACATGTATGAAAATGGGACCAGGTAACTTGAGGGGGATGAGTGGAGTTGAGATAAATGGGGGAGAAGGAGAAAGATAGAAGGCATGACATCGATCAAGATGCATTGTACTCATGAATGCACATCCTGAATTGAACCTTTTTGTATAACTACTGAAAGATAATTTAAGAAAAATAAAATGTTAAGATATAAAAAAGAAACATGGATACAGGCGTATCTGGGTACCTGGAAGATATTATCAAAATTAATTTTTGGGATGTTAGCTATATTTTAAAAATGATTTTTAGTTTTCAATATTAATGTATTTTATTTTTATCAAGGAAAAAGTAACAAAACATATATTAGGATAGGAAATCCTATACCAAAACAAACAAAAAAGACAAAAGTCATAAGGAACAAAAGCTAATACTTTGGTCAAAATGTGGGCTGTACCCACTGAAAATAAATAACCCAATGAAAATGATTTCTCCTAATTTGAAGATCATTGTGAATAGGTTCACCATTAGTGTGTGTGCCTAGTACACACCCACAGGGACTAATCATCTGGAAATTTAAGTTTATCTTTCCAATATCTGCATGATAGAGCCATTGACTGGCATTCATTTATCCATATTTTCCTTAACTCTCAGCAAAATCCTTGGCATATAGGGATAACTGCAGTGAAGGTTATTGTTTTGGATTTGTTAGTAACACATTAATTTTGTTCACTATTGTTGTTATAATTTTGTTTATTCTTGTAACTTCATTATTCACTAAATTTTTTATTTTAACAGTGATTTATTTAACAATGATGTTATTTATGTCATCTCATTTTTAGGTAGATTGGGGTCAGCTGGACTATTTAGTAGTTGACATGCCACCTGGAACAGGAGACGTACAGTTATCAATTTCACAGAATATTCCCATTTCAGGTAATTTTTAAATAATTTAAGCTTTCTTCTTCATGTTATTGTTGCTATACAGAGAAACAAACTTCTTGGCAAGCAAACATTTCTACCTTAAGAAATAACTTACAGAACTGGCATGGTAGTATGTTCCTTCAGTCATTCAAGGAAACCAGTGTGAACTTGGAGCCAGCTAAGGCTACACAGAAAAACACTGTTTCAAAAACAACCAAGCAAACAGAAGCATACCAGTGTAAATTTGGAGCCAGTTGAGGCTACACTCAAAGACACTGTTTCAAAAACAAACAAACAGAAGCATACGTTAAAATTTTCAGAAATTCTGTTAGCAGAATGAGTGTATTTACAAAAACAAAGATACTTTGACAAGGTGGTGACATAAACCTATGTTTTATAAAAGCAATAGTACTTAGGTATATTTAATAGAACATGGCTGTTTGGTTAACTGCCATCTATCGTTCACAGCATTGGTACATGGCAAGCAACCAGTGGATATATATTGAGTTTACTGGATAAAAGTACATATTAGGAGAAAATGCTTTTTTTGGTAAATACAATTCTGGGAGAATTTTATAATCTGCTGCTTTTCAAATGTTGAAATCAACAGCAATAAACAGAATAGCTTATAGCAAATACACAATACTATCTAAGCTATTTTGCTTATTGTATAGTATTTAATATAGTAGTAAATACTGGTTTTTTGTGCTTGTGTTATGGAATTTAAATATTAGTAGTTACTCTTATGTTGAATCCACTTCCTAAAACTTTCTTAGATGCGTATATAGGTATGCATATATATATATATATATACCCATAGATATTACTGACACAGATTAGTGGGAAAAATAAAGAAAATTTTTAATATTTTTGTAAATCAACTGTTTTCTGGTTATCCAAGTAATACCATTTAATTATCAAAAATGTTTTGATAAGAAATAAATGCTATTTAGAAATACCAGGATAGAATTCATGGCATGGATATTTTTAATGTTTCAATATGTGTGTAACCATAATGTAGTCTGAGATTGTTTTTTTAGGGAGGCAGCAAAATTGGCATATGAAAATAATTTATTCTTTTGGTTATCACTGTACTAAAAGCCTGCTTTTTCTTTTTTCTTTTTCTTTTTATGTATTTTGAGGGTATATTACATTCCTAGATTAAAAAAAAAAAAAAGAATAGTTGCTTCGTATCCATTACATATGCTCCTGGTACCTTGAAATGCTTCTGAAATGCTTATATTAAGCATATGGCTTCTGAAATGCGTGTATTATACATGTGGCTCATATGTTGAAAACAATGGACTAAATTATCATTTATGCCCTGAGTAGTGACTTAGTACCTGTGGACCCCACACAGGTAAAATGATGTCTCTAAAAAACAATTTGCTTATTTTGATTTACTCAGAAAACAACCTATTTGGACAAGATTCATAATTAAATATCTTATTTTAGTTTGTATTTTTATTTCAACACCAAAAAACAGATATAGATTTGGGTTAAGATTTTCTTCCCTCATTTTTCTTACAGCCTAAAAGTTTCCTTCTTATATGCTAATACTTAGGTAGGAATATTTCTTTAATTCTTTCTTCTAATAAAGAAAGCAAACACCCATTCAAATGAACCTGTTACTAAATAATAAGTTTCAGCTCTTTCCTCTCCCTCTGACAACCACTGTTCCACTTTCAGAAAAAAATGAATATTCCTCTCATTAAGATTAGCATATAAGAGCCGGGTGCCGGTGGCTCACGCCTGTAATCCTAGCTACTCAGGAGGCTGAGATCTGAGGATTGCGATTCAAAACCAGCCTGGTCAGGAAAGTCCGTAACTCTTATCTCCAATTAACCACTGGGAAACCGGAAGTGGTGCTGTGGCTTAAGTGGTAAGAGCACTTGCCTTGAGCTGAAGAACTCAGGGACAGTGCCCAAGCCCAGAGTTCAAGCTCCACGACCGACACCCCTCCCAAAAAAAAAAAAAATTAGCATATTAGCATATTTTCCGGAGGAAAATATGTTGTTAAAAATTACAATAAATAAATATATATTTATGAAAAATGTAAATGCCAAGCACTATAAAGATCCAATATTTTCCCTGGAGTTTCTTTCCTTTTTGACTCTTTCCTTTTTTGAAAATTTGATGAGAACTACTGGATTGTCTCCAAGAAAATGAATTGACATATATAGTCACACAGTATGAAGGCAGTCTAGATGTATTTTAGGATTCCTTGAAAGCAATTCTTTGAAAGACCAGTATTATCTTTGGGCTCATTCATACTTGTCTTGAACATTTGACATCTTACGCACACCAACTCTCTCTATAAAATTAAACCAATTAGTACTAGAGCATTCATATTTTGTGTTATCATCTCAGAATTAAAATTGATAATGAAAAAACTTCACCTATCATCCTAGCTCCTCAGGAAGATGAGATCTGAGAATCTCCATTCAAAAGTCCATGAGTCTGCCAATTCCAGAAGTGGTGGCTCAAGAGCACCAGCCTTGAACAAAAAAAACCTAAGGAACAGTATCTAAGCCTGAATTCAAACTCATGTACTGTGCATGTGTGCATTCACACATGAACATACATGCATGCACACACAAAGACTAGACATTATATAGTAAACATATTATTATTAGTGTTGATTTGTTGGTTATTATTATTGGCTGTACTGGGGATTAAATTTAGGGCCAGCTAATCAGGCCTTGCTAACTTAGAGTTTTATAACTGTACTTTCTAGTTAGGTGTTCTATAACTTAACCGTGGCCCTAGACACTGTATTCATTTTTTAATTAGAAAACTGTAGCAGGGCTGTGTATAAATACTTTGCATATTTGAGGCCATCCATGATTCAGTCTACCCAAAAAAGAAATAAAGAAAAGGAATGAAAAATGAAGGGGAGAACTAGCAAAGAATATTCTTCTTAAAAGAATGCTCAGTTAGGGCAGGAGGGGGCTGTGTAATTGTCTTTATGTATATGCTTGTTAAAAATGTGTTGTGAAAGGCTTAGTTCTTAAGCCTTGGTTTTATGCAGGCCAGTGTTGGTTCACAGCTAACTTATCTAAGAAAATACCAGAACTGAGCCAGCTCCCAGGATTTAGGGGAAATAGCACATTCCAAAGGGTTGCTTACCTGACTGAATCAAGACTTTCATCTATTTACCTAATTTGGAACAGCCTATCAGAATCATGGTGCCCTTCACATATACTCAGTATCTGTTCTCTATAAAACTAGATTTCCTTTCCTTTAATATGATGGACTTTAGAACTTTTAAGATATTGTATGCTATCTGTTTCTTTATGTTCAACATCCTATAAATGAGGTAAGCTCTTCACACTCTGTTTAAGGATCCTTGTCTTGACACACATTCATCCTTATTTACACTCTTTCTTCCTCAGTCAGTGTGTACCCAAGTCCTGTATAACCATTGAAAGCTGTTTGTTCCTATGCCCAATCCCTGTCATCACCTTCATGTGCCAGTTAGGAATCATTTCTACCTTGAAGTTCACATTGCATTTTATTTGGACCACTCTTCCTGTACTTCTGATGACCTTCACTCTAATCATGTTATTCTCTGCTACACTGTTACTCTCTGGATTAGCACTGCTTCCTTTACCTTTGTATTTCCTACAGTGCCAAACTCACAACTTTTCTGCAACTACTCAGGAAATAGAAAAATCAAGGAATGAATGTTTATCTATGTGTCTGTATTTTCCTTTTAGCCAGGCTGTAAGCTGCTTAAATGTAAGGATCTCTTTTCCTATTCATTCTAGTATCTCCTGGAGTACCTTGAGCAGTTGCTTATACAATTAATATTGACTGAATAAATAATAAAGCTAGACTGACATACATAGTTATCATTATGTATGGAAAAAATTTCTGCCTTCTTATCTCTCTTAACATTCTGCTAACTCGTTCCTATGATCCCTCACCCTGACTTTTACCCAAGTGCTTTCTTCTAAGTGTTAAAGGAAGTATTTTTTAAAAATATACATTTATTTTACTTCCTCTCTGAGAGAAAAATACTTGTGTTTTTAAAAAATACTATTTATTTCAATTAAATGAAAATATTCATTTAAATGAAATATTTTTCATTTATTTATGCTGTCTTTTTTACTATACTAAATGTATCTTTGTAGTTAGTACTCTCCTTTTTTAATGACTGGGATAATAGTGGTGGAGTGAAGGGCTTGCTTTTTAGTTACATACAATCTTGTATTTGATTTCTAATGAGAATAATATTATTGTTCCAATGTGAGATAAGAAGTTCTCTTACTTGCAATATGTTTCCCACAGTGCTAACTTCCTCTTGAATTCTATACTTACCCATGATAACTGCCTACCACCCAGACTTGTAAAGATCACATAATAAGATAAAGCAAAAGCTCTATCTAAATGAATGGTATATTTACAGAAATTACTTGGACATCTAATAACAACAGATGTGTACAGAAGGGAATCCTATTGCATTGTAAAGATCACATAATAAGATAAAGCAAAAGCTCTATCTAAATGAATGGTATATTTACAGAAATTACTTGGACATCTCATAACAACAGATGTGTACAGAAGGGAATCCTATTGCATTGTTGGTGGGAGTGTAAACTTGTTCAACCACTTTGGAAAGTAGTATGGAGGTTCCTCACAAGACTCCACATAGAGCTCCCCTATGACCCAAAAATTCAACTTTTGGGCATTTACCCAAATGATCACAAACAAGACATACCAGCACAACTATGTTTATTGCAGCATTATTTACTATATATAAGATATGGAACCAACCCAGTAGATGAATGGATCAAGAAAATGTGAGATATATATATATATATATATATATATTGATACACACACACACACACATATACACAATGGAATTCTATGCCTCCATCAGAAAGAATGACACCACCCTATTTGTTAGGAAATAGAAAGACTTGGAGGAAATTATATTAAGTAAAGTAAGCCAGGCCCAAAGAAACATAGGTCCCATGGTTTCCCTTATTTGCAATAACTAGTAT